TATCTTGCCCATAGCCTACAAAAGAAGTTATCACAGGACATAAAACTCAGTAGAAGCAAAGTTAATCGCTGAGTAATTTTTCTAGTAATTTTGCGAAAACTGGCAAAAAGCTCGTGACAAGATTACAATTGAATAGATTAACACAAAACTCCAGCAAATACGATTGTCATAATCCTCATGATTACGCGGTAATCGGTTTCTGAATACCCTAGTTTATACGACGGAAATTGTAATAACCACCACTTAACCTTTTTGAGATTTTTAGTCATACTAAGCTTATTGCTCAATAAGTGAGTGTACTGTAGGTAAAGAGGTTTACTATTAGTACGAAGTAAGTGTTATAACGTTTTTAATTCCGTTTTATAATCAAAGTTAAATTTTAAAACATATTAAAACGAGCTTTCTACGTGTACGGTTTAAAAAAAAACCTTATCAACATAAAAGTAAATGTTTTGATATACTAATTACTTTATAAAAAAACAATTCTTTATCTGTTTTTACTTATTTCCTTATGTAAAAAACGTCTTGCTAACAAATTAAGGTGCCCTATACATACGCCAACTCTTATTCTAGACCTATCTTTGCCCTCCCTAGTCTTTCTCTTGCTCTGCCTTGTTGCTACCTTCAGGGCCGAGCGACGGCCTTTTATATCAAGTTGTCCGAATATAGATGATCCAAAGCGCCCAATTTTGAACATATTAGCGCATCCACTTTCGAACAACCTGATAGTTTAGGCTTAAAATATAAAACCACTATTACGTTCGAGCTTTAGCTAGCTCTACTTACGCTATGTATCTATTACTAGCCTACCTCAGACCTTACAAAAAGACACTATTTGTAGGTAAAGCCAGCACCGGCCAAGCCCATAACAAATTTGAAAATGGTTGGGTTAGCACATTTGGTCCTAAATGCCAAAGCCTAAATAAAAACCTCAAATGCCTAGATAGAGCTTTGAAAATTATTGGTTATTTAGGGCACAAAGGTAGCGCAACACAAGTTGTCAAAATTATGATTTTAATAAGTTTATCTAAAGGGTTGGATTGGTCAAAGCAAATCTAAAAGAGCTAAGCTAAAAACTTGAGCCTGGCGTCTATACAGGTCTAGCCTACTCAAATCTTCAAAAAAAGCACAAAATTCATATATAGCACCAACTGACAAAAAAGTTGCTCATTTAAAAAAAATTATGACGTTCCAGCCAAATCCTCTTTCAAACTCTAGCCAAAAATCTTACAATCTACCCAAATTGTACGACTGTATACTAACGACTAAGCGCTCGACATCACGAACGTGCCGTAACGCCTTGGTAATATTGTGTTTTCGTTGGAATATAAAAAGAAAGAATAAGATAACACCAACTAATCGCAAATTCAACGAATTCGCTGTAAAGATAAGGAAACAAAAACAATATAAAATATATTAAAACAGCTAATGAATTGTTGTTTTTGTGTTCAGATAAGGTACCTAACATAAGGCTGAGCATTTGTTGTTAGACGAGCCTGCAGCTACAAAAACTGTGCTTGATAACAATGGAATACAGTAAATAGTAGTAAAAGATTAAAAGTGTTTAAAAAAGTGTGGTTTGAAAATATAAGGTTAAAAATGAATTTTAGGCTTAAAAATAAGCTTTAAGCTTAAAAGTAATGTTTAGGCTTAAAAATAAATTTTAGGCTCAAAAAATGAATTTTAGGCTTAAAAATAAGCCTTCGGGTTTAAAAATGTATTTTAGGCTAAAAAATGAATTTTATGCTTAAAAATAATACTTTGGATTTAAAAAAGTATTTTAAGCAAAAAAAAAATTTTTATGCTTGAAAATTAATCTTAGGCTTAAAAATGAGCTTTAGGCTTAAAAATTAATTATAGGCTTAAAATGAACCTTAGGCTTAAAATTAAAACTTTGGTTAAAAACTAACATATAAGTAAGTGTAAAAAACGACAAAATGTGCATAACAAACATATTTACTAGTATTGTATATTTTGCAAGAAACTCAACAGTTGTTTACATACTTGAGAGAAAGACAAAACTACAATATGAAGTTCGAAACATGTTTGGAACAAAATTATAGTTTCAAAATAAAATACCCCTGTCCTGCCCTGCTTTTGCCCTGCCTTTGCCCTGCCTTTGCCCTGCCTGAACATAATTCTTGTATTGTGACATCGGAAAGACTCCTGCGTTCGACCATAATACAGCAAACCAAAGTGAAAGAATGAAAAATTGAAAAAAAATTTTTAAATTTGAATAAATGGGGAATGATTGTAGCTTATTTCCATGGGGCATTATTATTCACCTGCTGGGGAATTATTCTGCATGAGAACCGCTTATTTTACCTTACTGAACTTAAAATGATTCTACTAAATTCTTTCCTATCCTACTTACTCCTACTTTTTTGTTACATCGAGTTGCATCTTAACCTCCCTACTCTAGTCTAACCTTCTCATTTACTCTACTCTACCCTAGTTTATCTAAACCTATATTAACCAGAGTTCCCAAATTTAAAAATCCTAGCTCCGGCTCCAGCTCCGGCTCCGACCATTTTCAAATTTTAGCTCCGGCTCCGGGCTCCGGAGCCGACATTTTCGCAAGCTCCGGCTCTGGCTCCGGCTCCGAGAGCACAAAACCAATAAAAATCGTATTTCTATATAAAAAAACGCAAAAACAACTAAAAATAAGCTTTATCTTTTCTAAATTTAATAAAACAACAATTTTTAACTATTAAAACAATAAAAAAGTACATATAACTTATTCAAAGTATGGGGAATTAAAAGACATTAACATTTTTTGTCTGGTTAAAGCATGCTGAGAGTTGCAGAGCTTTGAAGCGGTTACAGCTTGAAGGCGGCTAAAGAATTGCTCTACATTTGCCGAAGCCGCGGATACTGTTAATGCTGTTAAAGTATTTGCATTTACCATCAATTACATTTGCTTGCACATCGCTTTTGTCAAACGATTTTGAAACATCTAACTTCCGGCGCTTTTTTGTTTCCATTTGAAAATAACACAAAAATTTGTCCAAAAAACTATTTTATCGCAATGCCAACCTTTTGAATTGGCCATGGATAGTTTTCTTTTCGAGACCTTTTTACACTGCTCAAATAATAAAAATTAAAATGTGGAGCCATTTTAGAAAAACTCGGCTCCGGCTCCAGCTCCGGCTCCGACCATTTTCAAAAATGAGCTCCGGCTCTAGCTCCGGAGCCGGAGCCCGTGGGAACTCTGATATTAACTTATCCTGTACTATCCTAGTTTACTTTAACCCGTAGTTACCTTTACCGTACTCTAGTTTGCCCTAACATACCACAAGTATGCTCAAAGAGCCCAAATTGTCCCTACAAAAAATTCCAGAAAAAATCGAAAAAAAGAAGATTTGGTGGCCAAGAAGTCTCCAAAGCGCGTTTCCTGTTACTTTTTCTCGCTTTTGATCTTGTCTGTGTAAACGAAACAAAAAACAAAACGTAGATATCGAATATTCAGCGTAAACTTTCCCCGAGACCTTGTCTTTTGGTAAGAGCGAACGTGAAACGTTATATTACACTAGGCAAGACGTAATGGATATACTGAATCAAGTTGAAACTGATTTATTGTGTTTTTGATCAAAGATTCTGATGAGCATGACAAAGTAAATCTATTACACCAAAAATTAAAAGAAATTTTTTTTGCTCTTTACAGTTTTGTAAAGATAGTTCTTGTAGTTTTTTGCTTTGTAAAGAAAGTTGTTGTCTCATTTTGTTTTGTAAGTAAATTTCTTGTTATTTAAAGTCTTGTAAAGAAAGTTTCTGATCTTTTTTGTTTTGTAAAGGAAGTCCTTGCCATTTATAGCCTTGTAAAGAAAGTGCTTACCGGTTTTTTTGGTAAACATAAAACTTGTGTTACATGATTAAAGAGATAATACTGAGGACAGGTGAGCTTGTTTTTAAATTTTATTTTATTAATCTAGACATATTTTTGAAAACAATCTAACAAAATAAAATTAATCTCTGTTATTGATAGCTACAAAAACATCAGTTAATGTTAATACGTTGCGTTTTTAAAATTTGATTTTGTAACATTACAGTAGATTGTCTGTATAACTAACTATTTTATAGCAAAGCTTTCGTATGTATAACAAGCAACTTTTAAATCTTAGGACAATTAGTTATGCAAGAGTTATATTGTATAGTAAAGGCTATGATAAGAAGTTTAAGGCATGAATAAGGATTGGGTGGGAATTGAGAAGCTAAGGCAACACTACGTTAGAGATATGGTTGGGTATTGCTATGATAGGGCAAGGAAAAGCTAAAGTAGAGCTAAAGTAGGGCTAGGGTACGACTAGAGTATTGATAAAGTAATGTTAAAGTAGGGCTGAGTAGGAATATAATACAGATAGTTAATGTTAGGGTAAGCAAAGACAAGTAGAGCCAAGCTAGATTGATTGTACAGATAGGAAAGGTTATATATTATAAAATAAGTAAACATTTTTAATACATTTTCACAGCTATTTTACAATTTACCGTACAATCTGTATTTCAATTTAAAATTCACTTAAATCATGTGTTTTAATCAACTAACTGATACGTTTTTCAATATTACACTGTTTTAAAATTTGGTGTAAATTAAGCTATTGCAAAATGAAACGTTGCTACGTTCTTGGTAGTTATTAATCAAAAAAATAGCGAATGATCCCTTTGAACTATTGACACCAGTTTATATAATGAGTGGGTGTTTTACACTTTGAAAGGTTTTATTATACAGCTTTGAGATTGAAAGTTCTTAATATTTTTGATGTTGTAAAGAAAGTTCTTGCTATTTACAATTTTGTGAAGAAAGTTCTTGCTATTTGCAATCCTGTAAAGAAAGTTCTTTCTATTTACAATTCTGTAAAGAGAGTTATTGTTATTGGTTTTAAAGCACACTAATTTTAAGTCTGTGCTCTGTCATATTATAAGTACTGGTTAACTTATATAATACTATGCCAGTCTTGAAAACTATACCAAAGAATGTAAATGTTGATTACAGAGTTTGCAAAATGGAAGATGAATACAAAGAACAGGTAATTCAAAGTCGGGTAAGAGTACTATAAAGTAAAAAAAAGACTAAAAAGGGATAGAGCTCGAGTACGGGGTGAGAGAAGCGCCAAAGAAGGCTTGAGCAGTAAGGCTAAGGTAAGAGTCAAGACTAGGATAAGACCTAAACTTAGATAATGGTTAGGTTTAGACACTTTTAAGGTGCGATTAGGGTAGAATAATAGAATATAATATTGTAAGTACATGGCAGTGATAGATCAAAGATACATTATAGTTTTTATAATGCGTTACCTTGGTAGAGTACAGTTTAAAAAAACATTATTATACTACAAGTTTTACATTATAGGCCAAAAACCCTTTTTATCCAAAAGGTAACGTTTTGACACAACAACAACTTCAGTTCTACAACGAAAACGGGTATTTGCTGATTAAAAATGTGTTATCAAAACAAGAGTTACAAAAATACCGTAACCGCTTTCAAGATGTGTGTAATAATCCTAAGATACTGCCAATAGAAACATTGTTGATGAAGGATATATCTACAGCCAAAAAGACAAAAGAACTTAATGAAGGTACTATTTTGAGGTTACAAGACTTTAACAATGATCCAGTACTCTTTCAATATTGTCAACATCCTGTGGTAAGGTTTTGAATTCATTTTTGTTGGCTTTATATAGTATACTATTCTACGTACTATCGTAATTACATTTAGTATTCTATTTACTATTGTAATCACAATATCTTGATTGGCATGCTAGTTTAACATAATCTTGTTTAGATTTTAGATGTAGTCCAAGACTTGATAGGTAAGAAAGAAAAGTCCAATTTTATGGCAATGCACACTATGTTCATTAACAAACCTCCTGATGACAAAAAGAGTTTATCTTCTAGGCATCCTCCACATCAAGACCAATATTTCTTTCCGTTTGGGTAAGGGCAATTTATGATAGACTAAAATAAATTTCAGTGTTATAGAGCAAAGCAGTAAAATACCGGCTCTAATTAAAGTTTTACGGGTTTGAGAGATATTTTGATAGAAGAAAAATAGAGTAAGAGTATTTTATTTCTACAGTAAAGAAAGACAAGGCTTAATAGACTATGATCAATAAGAGTACGTAATAGTAGAGTTAGGTAAACTAAGAGTCGATCGATGTAAAATAAGTTACAAAACTGTAGTATAAGACGGAATAAAAGAGCCAAAGTACTAAAATCACTATAGAGTAAGTTAAAGTAGAACAAGATACCTGTAGACAAAAAACAAAGTTTGATAGGTTGTTTTGGTATCAATTAGAGCACAGAAGGGAAGGGCAAGATATAATTAAGCTGAACATAATAAAGGCAAGTACAGTAAATTATTTCCGAGTTGGATAAGACAAAATAAGATAAAGTAGAGTACACTAAACTATTGTATGGTAAAATCGTATTGTAAGAGTAAGAGTAAGCAAAAAACATTAGAGCATTCTACCTTACCCCACCCTACTCTACCCTGCCGTACTCTACTCTACCCTAATCTGTCTTATCTTAATTTACTTTACCTTAGCTTCTCTAGTTTTTACATACTTTACTACTTTTAGCCCAGCCGACTACATAACTTGTGCCTGGACAGCAATTGACCATTGTACTACAAAAAATGGCACGTTATTTGTCTACCCAGGTAGTCACAAACTCCACAGTCAACCTCATGACTACCCAAAATGGCAAAACGGAGTCAATAAAGGCTTTCAACAAATAGCGACTTTTGACACCAACAATAACACATCAGTTAACATTGAATGTGAACCAGGAGACACTTTGTTCTTTCATCCAAACTTAGTACATGGTGCTGGGCCAAACTCAAGTAGCAGTTTTCGAAAAACAATAAGCTGTCATTATGCCAATGCTGATGAATGTAGATATATTGATGTGTCTGGTACATATAGAGCAAATGTAGAGAAAGAAGCGGTTGAAGTGTTCAATTTGCGGTACAAAAGGCTTGGAATTCCTTTGGCTAGAGATTGGGGAGTGAGTTTTTTAAAATTTTTGTTTAATGGCTTGATATAATCGCACTCCTATTTTAGGCTTAAATGGTATTATATAACTTGAAGAAAAATCTTTTTTTAGCACTTATGGAGAATGCGAACCCGACCAGTCAATGCCAAAAGAGCGCATCTTTAAACCTTAAAAATTAAAATTTGAATCATGGGTATAATAATAAAGTTGTAATCTATATATTGGTCTACCCTACTCTACCCTACCCTGCTCTGCCCTTGCTTATTCTATGATACCCTACCTTTCCTTACCTTACATTGCTTTGCCCTACCCTACTCTTCTTTATCCTACAATTCCTGACCTAGCCCTGCTCAACCACACTTTACCATGCCATACACTACTCTACCCTCCCCAACCCATCGTTATCCTATCCTAAACTTAGTTACCTTCTTCTACCTATACCAAGCATAAAGCTAGAATTAATTTTTAACCATACCTTGACTTTCCTAACCCTACCATACTCTACACCATCGCACTCTGGCCTAGCTAACCCTACCGCTTTTTCAATCAAGAAATTGATCAACAAGAAAATTTTTATAAGAAACAGATATTAAAAATCAAAATTTACATTTTATAAACTATAAGTATCACATTGACCTTTGCACTTTATTATCCGCACCAACAGCCACAGTCAGTCTAAATATGGTACATTTATTACACAAAACATAACAAACAAAAAAATCCTTGAAAACTCGAAATTTGGCGCTTTTCGTATCAGTTTATCGGCGATTACTGTAACAAATCCATGTCCGTGAACTGCGAAAACATTTTATGATTTCGTAGCCAGTCGGCTCCGCCGCGTCGTTGAAGGAATTGTTTTACGAAATCGCGTTCTTTGGCCGAGATTTGGGGTTGGGTCGAGTCCCAGCTGTAGAAACGTTTGGCTGGTGCTTCCCAACTGTAGAACCGTTTTTGAACCTGAAAAAGTTTATTTTTAGTACTGATATACTTATATTTTTCAAAATTACCAAAAATTAAAAAAAATTGTTTTTTGGTTTTAAAATGGTACCAGCAGAGACGTCGCTACGGATTTTCTCTAGGGGAGGGGATGGTCGAAAAAAATTTTTTCGTCCACAGGTGTGACCTGTGGACCGATTTTTCAAAATTTTTATTTTTCGTTTTTTCACGTACAGGTACCTACCCGTGGAATTTTTTTTCGGATTGGCTCTGGGGGGAGGGGGTACCCCCCCCTACCCCCCCTCCCCCCAAACGACGTCCCTGGGTACCAGTGGTACCAGTTAGTACCATTTACAATTTTTGTAAAAAATACTTTTTTTAAAAAATTAAAAATGTTTAAAGATACATTTAAAAAAAAATTTTTTGGTACCAATAATACCGCTCAGTGCCAATTTTAGTCCCACTTAAAAAAAATTTCAAAAAAATTAAAATAAAAGCTAAAAACGCATTTCTTCCGTAAAAAATTTTGCTTGTAGTAGTACCATCTAAAAACTATAGTACCAAAAGATAGCATGCTATAGCACCAATGTAAGATAAGGCTAAGGCTAGGGTAAACGTGTTAAATTGACCGAAGAAGTAAAAAATACTATAAACTTGTAAAAAAACACTTACTTTCATGTTTGGCTGAAGTTTGTACAAAGGTAAAAGCGCAGTAATCTGTAGAGTAATTAGAGATAACAGTATGATTAATCGGAACAATGAAGCCATGAACCCTGAAGAATAACAAATTTTAATCATTTTTAATTAGTTTCAAAGCAAGATGAGTTCTAAAAACATCCGAAGCAATGAAAATCTCTTTTTAACGGCCATTTGTACCAAAACCTTATTGTAAAATAAAACAGTTGAGTTTCGGCTTGTGTAATATTCAGATAATTAAAAAATTTTTAAAAATGGGACTTTTTAAAATTTTATATTATAAAAACGAATCTTTAAACGCTTAGAAAAAATTTGCCGTGCCAAAACGTTAATTTTCCTTAATTCAACAAAGGAAATTTAATACTTTAAAGCACTGGAAAAGCACGAAACAGTGTAAAATGAAGTACAAGAAAGAGAAAACAATATAACATTGAATGAAAACTTTAAAAAATTATATTTTAAATAGTAAAGCAAAAAAGGTAGGCTAAGGTAGAGAGTAGGGCAAGATAGGGAAGGGTACAGTACTACAGAGCATAAAAGAATATGTTAGAGTAAAACAAGGTAAGATAAAGTAAGGCAAGAAGGTGGCAATTAGTTTATAGTCGATTAGGTGAAGCAGATAAAAAAAGTAAAAAAAGATAGTAAAGTAAAGTTTGTTGAGAAATTTAAAAGTAACAAAAAAGCAAGTGTACGGCTGGGACAAGAAGCAAAATGTCGAGCAAGCTAGGGTAAAGTAGAATAGAAAAAAAACAAAAATGTAAAAAATCTTACCTACCCTACTTTATGTCTTGTCCGATCCTGTCTTACCCGCCCTACTCTACCCTACACAATTCAACCCTACAAATTTGTAAACAAAAATTATGTTTTGAAATTAGAAATCATATTTTCAAATTCAATATAAAAATCGAGCTTAAGGCCTTTCCGATTAGAAGTGAATAAAGACAAAAACATAAACTCATAAGAACGTGGAACAATATTTTTTCAGTGAAGTCATTTGTTTTTGCACGTAACCGTCAATTTACACTTTACCTACACATTTACCGTACTTACATTCCTACATCTCATAAAATAAAATGTAAAAAATTTTACTAAACAATATGTCGTTTAAATTCAAGGTTACGTGCAAAGCAAGTATGTTTTTACTACGTTTATAGAACATAAACCAACATATCACTGTTCTTCCCCTACCCACATTACACTGAAATCATCCACCCAGCCCTGTGTTGCCTTAATAAAAACTGAAATTCAAAAAACAATCTTTTTGAATTCAACCATAAAATTTTTCAAAATTTTAAAAAGTTTACGTACTACTCTGTACCCCAATCATTCCATACCTCTATTTGTATCAAAAGGTGTTTTAACATTCCTTAACATATTTTATATGTATCAAACATATGTTGGCCCCTCCCCTCTACTAATATATGATAACATATGTAATCCGGCTAAAGATAGTTCAATAAAGAAAGATTTAAAAAGGTGCTGTGTTCTAGTCCGACCTCTAATCCCGCGACATTTTTTTAATTAGCTAATCTGCGTTCGGATCGTTTTTTGGTCACGGCTACTATAGTATACCATAATTAATGTTATATTGCTAGGCTAGAGCTGAAAGTAGTGCTAAGTCAAAAGCTAGGGCTAAGACTAAAGCTAAGGCTAAGCCTAAGGCTAAAGCTAAGGCTAAGAATAGGGCTACAATTAGAGCTAAGGCTAAAGCTAGAACCTGGGCATTAGCCTATGCCAGCGCTAAAATTAGAGTCAGGCTTGTATCATAACTCAAAAAGCCAAAAATACTGATTAGTACTATATTATAGTATCAAAAAAATCATTCCTTAATATCTTTTTCTACCAAAAATACCAAACATATACACCTAAAATATATAAAGGCATTGTACGTGAATAATACTATAGATCTCCAAACAGATTGGATATTTAATCGTATCCAATATAAAAGTGAAAGTATTAGGTATAATTGCAAATACCCTTTCCAGATAACAAAGAAGTTATGTTGCAGAAGATTATACTGATCGTCAGAAGACATAATGCTATTATACTACCGTAGGTATCAGAAGATACTTGCGAATTGACATGTTAGGTACGTAAAAGAAGATTATGACACAAATTACTGTAGTGGTTTGGTGCAAAAATTTATAATTTTTAAGGTTTTGATTAGCTTTCGTAGGCTTAAGCTTAGTAGGCCTAAGCTCAGTAGGCTTGGTAAGCTTAGGCTTAAAAGGCTTAGACTTGGTAAACCTAGCTTTAGTAGGCTTAGGCTTACCCCTAGTAGACTCATGTTTAGTACTCTTACGTTTAGTAGGCTTAGACTTTAAAAGCTTAGGCTTAGTAAGCATATGCTTAGAAAATTTAGAGTAAGAAAGCTTAGGCTTAGAAGGCCAAGGCTTACAAAAATTCAATTTAGAAGACTTAAACTTAGAAAACGTAGGCTTAAAAAACTTAGAGTAAGAAAGCTTAGGCTTAGAAGAGTAAGCTTAGAAGGCTTACACTTTGAAAATTTATACTAAAAATCTAGGCTTAGTAGGCTTATACTTAGAAAACGTAGACTTGGTGGGCTTATTTATAGTAGAAACAGACTTAGTAGCTTCACCTTAGTAGGCTTAAGCTTGGCACGCTTTAACTTTGTTAGCTTAGACTTAATTAACGTAAGCCTATATTAATTTAAATATTTTTGTAGACTTTGTAAACCCAAAAAACATCCAAAAACTCATGAATAAGCCCTTATCCAAAATGAACATGAACTCCCATTAATATATGTTAATTCCATTACACAGTTACACTTACACTTATATATATTACAATTAGGATAGATTAAATGTAAAGAGAGCAATGTTCTCGTTGCAGATTGGAAGTGTAGGTGCGTGTAGCTAATTACTTCCAAATTTAGCCCTCTTTGTTATAAAAATAGCCTCAATCCAAAAGCTTAAAGTTCCGAGAAAATTCACGGATTTAGAGGTGTAACGGTTAAAACATCAAAAAGAAAAGACATTGTTGTAATTAGTAAAGTAGTTTGGTTTGAGTTTGCAAAATTATAAAAGTTGCAAAGTTTTGATACAGTTAAAAAAATAAAAGCTAATACCAGAAGCAAAAATAAGGTTAAAAGTAGTTAAAGCTAGGGTTAATACTATGGCCAGAGCTAAGACTAGAGCTATGGCTAAGTCTAACGCTATAGTTAAAACTAGAGCTAAACTCGAGCTAGAAGCTAAGGCTGTTCTATAGCAAAGCTAGAGAAACGTTAGGATCACACTACTGTAAAATTCAGTCTGAGAAAACTTTCTTTAACCGTCTGACAGCAATAAAACTACGTAAATCATACAGCTACTGTAAAATTAAAAAGTACCAAAAAACGTTCGTTTTTTCTATATTAAAATGTAACAGTACAAGAAGAAAAAAAATTTAAAATGTTAATTAATTCTGCAAAACTTTACTTTTGCAGTTTAGCAATTTGTAGGCCAAAAGAAAAATATTCCGTATTCTACAAATCTGCCACTTACCCATAATACCCGAGCCCTATTCTACCCTAC